GAGAGAGAGAGAGAGAGAGAGAGAGAGAGAGAGAGAGAGAGAGAGAGAGAGAGAGAGAGAGAGAGAGAGAGAGAGAGAGAGAGAGAGAGAGAGAGAGAGAGAAACTAGAGAAGAAGAAACAGAGAGAGAGAAACAGATAGAGAGAGACAGATAGAGAGAAACAGACAGAGAAACAGACAAACAGAAACAGAGAATCCTAAATCTCAAATACAACAAAACAAAAAACAACAACAATAAAACACAAGTGCAAACTCGACACCAGTTGCCAATACTCACAATAACATAAATCACCCCACACCCACGATACACCAAAAAGGGGACACATGGTCTCGACACCATAACACTACACGAGACACCATACAGGCACTACATGTCACCATCCGCATGTCAATACGTGTCTCATGACTATGACCCCCGTTTCGTCATGCACACAAACAGGCAGGTCCATGCACACTTCACAGGGTATGAGGAAAGGGGAAAGGAAAGGGGGAGGAGGCGAGAGGGAAGGGGCGAAAAGGAAGAGGAATAAGGGAGGAGGAGATGGAAGAGAGAAGGAAAAGAAGAGGAGAAAGAGAAAAGGACGAGAAAGAGGAATAAGGGTAAAGGAGATGGAAGAGAGAAGGAAAGGAAGAGGAGAAAGAGAAGAGAATGAGAAAGAGGAAGAGACGACTGAAGAGAGGAGGAAGAGACGCGTGGGATCGGATGAGAAGAAAGATCGAAGAAAACAGGAAGAGAAGAGGAAGAGGCGGATAAAGAGAAGACATAGAAAAGGAAGAAAAGAGAGACATTTCAACGGAAAAGAGAGAAATAAGAAGAGGCAAAAGAGAAGATAAAGACAAATAGAAGAATAAAAAAGAAGACCAAAGAGAGAGAAGAATAAATCAAAGAAGGGTCACCAAAAGGGAAACAAAAAGAAAGAAAAAAAAGAGAGCCAGAGAGTAAGATACATTAAGAAATAGACGAAGAGACTGATAATAAGGAAGAGGAGGAGGACGAAAAGGAATACGATAAGGAGGCAGAGGATAAGGGAGACAAAACATCCAAAAAACTAGAGTGCAAGATACTAGTGTGTAGGCCCTGAGTGTCTGACGATAGGCCTACATATACCTAGTGTACACAAACAAAAAACTTAGGCCTACACCATTCAAAAATAGACCGAATGCACTCCTCTCCTAAGAAAGAGGAACCAATGCATCTACGACACAAACAAACTAACTAAAATAAGATATCTAAAATGTGCACATAAATCTACTGAAGTGTACACCCAGACCGACACGAAAAGCACACGATGTTCACCAGTTCAGAGTCCACGGCACATCGAACACGGCACATCGAAAGGGCTCATACCAGAAGGGGGGGGGGAGGTCAACTAGGTACATCTTCCGATAAATACATCTCGTTTATCTAAATCTAAGAGGGTAATGGACATCTACGAGGTTCACGTACAATCTAAGAATTTTAGAATCTTTCGTATATATCTAAAGAGGTTCTTGTACGTCTAGGAAGACCACTACGAAGTAAGGGTATAAGGACGCGAAGAACATCAAAACAAGAGGATTCCGCCGGCAAAGAGGATTTGGGAAGGGATCAGAAACCATAAGGGAATAGAACAAAATCGAATCGGAAACCTTCTGATACAGATCGTCGATTCCCTTATAAAAATAGAGGGGAACGAAACAGATCGAACAAAAAGATGGAAAATAACGACACGGGGACAACGAAAAAAATAACGAAAATGGGAAAGTACGGCCATAAAAGGCAAAAAAAAAGAAAAGTCAAAACAAAAGTCAAAACAAAAAAGACAAAATCAGCCATGGGAATTGTAACTCGTGGCGGAGGGGGGAAGAGGGAGAGAGGGAGAGGGAGAGGAAGAGGGAGAGGAGAGGGGAGAAGACAATTCCTCGTGTGTGAGGAAAGGCTTTGCAATTGCGTGAGAGGACAGGATGTCTGGCTGAGGGAAAAAGCAAGCAAACAAACAAACGAAAAAAAAAACAGGAAGGGAAGGCTCAGCTCAGGAGGTCAAACTAACGACGGCAGAGGAGGAGGAGGAGGAGAAGGAAAGGAGGAAAAAGTAGGAGGCGAAGGAAGACCAAGAAGAGAGGGAGGAAAGGAGGAAAAAGCAGGAGACAAAGGAAGACCAAGAAGAGACGGAGGAAAGGAGGAAAACAATAATAGGAACAGAGGGAGGGCCAGGAGGAAAAGGCCGAGGAAGAGAAGGATGAGGAGGAAAAGGCCGAGGAAGAGAAGGATGAGGAGGAAAAGGCCGAGGAAGAGAAGGATGAGGAGGAAAGGCCGAGGAAGAGAAGATGAGGAGGAAGGCCGAGGAAGAGAAGGATGAGGAGGAAAAGGCCGAGGAAGAGAAGGATGAGGAGGAAAGGCCGAGGAAGAGAAGGATGAGGAGGAAAGGCCGAGGAAGAGAAGGATGAGGAGGAAAAGGCCGAGGAAGAGAAGGATGAGGAGGAAAAGGCCGAGGAAGGAGAAGGATGAAGGAGGAGGAGAAGGAGGAAAAGGCCGAGGAAGAGAAGGATGAGGAGGAGGAAAGAGAAGCCGAGGAAGAGAAGGATGAGGAGGAAAAGGCCGAGGAAGAGAAGGATGAGGAGGAAAAGGCCGAGGAAGAGAAGGATGAGGAGGAAAAGGCCGAGGAGGAGGGCGACACCACGACGACTAAACACCAAGGGCAGCCTGTCACGACACGGGGAAACAGTAGCTACGTTGGGCCTGCCACTCGGCCTGCCACTCGGCCCGGCATGCGACCTGTCATGCGGCCTGTCATGCGGCCTACCTGAGCGCTTGAAGGCGGCCACGCGACGGCGCGTCACTCGCCCTGCTGGACTCCCTGCCGAGCAGCGTGGGGGGAGAGGGAGAGAGGAGGAGGGGGAGGTCGAGTCAGTCAGTCATACGGAGGGTTATAGGCTGCACTCGTCGAATCCCCGCCCCACACACTCGCTTCCCCGCCCACACCCCCTTCCCCCAACGCCAACATAACCCCAAACACACACACATACGGGCCCAATGCTCACTCCCCCCAACCCCCAAAACATAAACACACGGAGAGGGTCCTAAAGCACATACACAAACGGGCCCACAATACTCCTTTCCCCACCAAACCCCCTCTTTCCCCCCACCCCACCCCCACCAAACACGAACACACACAACCCTTAAATCAAAACCCCGAACATAGGCCTACACCCACACACCACCAGCCTTCAGATTCCCGCCATGCACCTTTTTTTCGACCCCGACTACTACGACACCCCCCCACCCCCACCACCACCACCCCACATGCTCCCCCTGCAAAGTCATCCTCGACCTGCCATGCACCAGACGCCGGTCATACACTATTTAACCCGGTGACTTGGAGCAGGAGGCCATGCACTGCACGTCACCTCCAGCCCCCATGATCGTGCACTGTTTCGCTGTTGGATAATATCTCAAGTTGCAAGGAGTGACAGCCCCGTGCTGCACCCGTGACTTGCACGCGTAGAGGATGTGCAACACGCGCGCACACAAGCACAGACATCATGACCATTGCATACTGCCATAAGCAAACACACATAACATAACACCACACACACACACACACACACACACACAACACACACACACACACACACACACAAA